AGTGTCCAGCCTAGAGAGATCCCCGGTTTTCTTCTTCAATGGACTCACCTGTCCTCTGAAGAGCTTCCTTCCCATAGGACAAATATTTCTTCATCAACACAATGCAGGTGTCCTCTAGGAAGTGTTTATTCTCCTGGAACCACCTTGGATCATCCTCCCACTTCTCCTTGACCCTCTGGGCCTGGGGCTGAGCTGTCACCCATCTGAAGGTCTCCTTGTCGAAGCTGATGAAGTCCATCCCATCATAGCCATAGTGGAAATAGCCTTCTTGGCTCCCGTCTTCCCGGAGTTCACAGCCCAAAACTGCCTGCCAGGTGTGAAGCCCTGAAGTAGAAACTCAATGAGATTGGAAAGGGTGGTGATTCCTCTCCCCTCCCCCATGCACTCCTTTCCTGCCCCCTCCTCACCAGGAGTTTCAATCTCTTTCTAGATGAAGAAGACATGGATTTTACTGTCAGGAGCTACAAAACTGTTTCACAAATAAATAGAAGCGGAAATGCCCTTGAAAAGGGAGGGGGCTTTTCTCTCTCTCTATTCTCCTCCTAAAGAAAAAGTAATCACATCACTATCTCTTTGCATCCTTGGAGACCAAAAGAGAGAAAGAAATCCTTGCACTTGGCTATGGTGCCTGCAATGCATGTATGGATGGTTTTATAGTTGCTTTGCCCTGTCTTTGTGGTGCATGTTTTTTGGGTTTGTGTGTCTGTCATTGTTCTGTTTCCATTCCAAAATCTCTGGTGTCAGACTACTATTTTGAGACAACCCGGGAGCAAAATATAGTACACAGAAGTTTTGTTTTACAAAGTGTGGTTTATCTACAAGACTTACTGTATTTTTTGGATTATAAGATGTACCGGAGTATAAGACGCACCAAGATTTTGAAGAGGTAAATTTTTTAAAAAGGGTTTTGCACTCTGCAGACCTCCCAAAGCCTCTGCATGCCTCATTTTTTTGTGAAAAATGGGGTATGCAGAGAGTTTGAGAGGTCTGCAAAGTGCCTCTGGGGGCTTGGGAGGCTCAGAATATGAGCAAAAAATGGCCTGTTTTTCACAAAAACAGCCCCCCTTTTTTCTGCAAAAAAGCAGGGCATGCAGAGGCTCTGGGAGGCCTGCAAAGTGCTCCTGGGGGCTTGGGGAGGGCAAAACAGCCCATTTTCCAGTCTTTTTTGTCCTCCCCAGTCCCCAGGAACACTTTGAAGGCCTCCCAAAGCCTCTGCATGTCCATTTTTGTGAAGGGGGTGGGGTTTCAGGAGGCCAAAAATGCTGTATTTAGTGTATAAGATGTACCCAGATTTTTACCCTCTTTTTTGGGGGGGGAGGTGCATCTTATATTCTGAAAAATATGGTACATACATACATACATACATACATACATACATACATACATACATTAGGCAAATACCAGGCAAATACCAGGCAATCATTCAATCTTCAACTGTAACACAGAAACACACACAGAGAGCTACAATGGAGATAGAACAGGAGGAGAGGAGATGCCTTCACATGACCTCTCTTATATAGACAGCTTCTTAAGGTGGCAGTAGCCCTGCTGACTCATTTTCATTTCATCATCTGGGAACTTGTGTCTTTCCTTGATAGTTGAAATGACAGGATGTGGAAGGCAAGAACTGAGAGTGAATTCACAGCTGAAGGGAAGAATCTGTCTGCTCACCTTCATTCTGGGAGTGGAAATTTTGGACNAGTACATCATATCAGCACTTAGAAAGATGAGGCTAGCTCTAAATTATTCCCGTGCATAGATAATTGTAAGGGTTCCCCTCGCACATATGTGCTAGTCGTTCCCAACTCTAGGGAGCGGTGCTCATCTTCGTTTCAAAGCCAAAGAGCCAGCACTGTCCGAAGACGTCTCCGTGGTCATGTGGCCGGCATGACTAAACACTGAAGGGGCACTGAATGCTGTTACCTTCCCACCAAAGTGGTCCCTATTTTTCTACTTGTATTTTCTTTGTGCTTTTGAACTGCTAGGTTGGCTGAAGCTGGGACAAGTAATGGGAGCTCACCCTGTTATGCAGCGCTAGGGATTCAAACCACCACACTGCCTACCTTTCTCATTGACAAGCTCTGTGTCTTAGCCACTGAGCCACCACATTCCTCCATTTCCCACACATAGGGATAGTTAAAAGAATAGGATTCCCCCCCCCCATCTCTCAGTCACATGGGCCAATCAGTCCAGTCACTGGCTCTGACAGGTATCCGATGACATGATCTTGGTTCACATGCCAGGTTATGGCACCATATTCCTAGGTTCCCCCCACTCTTGAATTGTAGCAGCAGCCAGTAGCTTTTACCACATGTCAATACTAAGAACGGGACATGAGACCACAAAGGTAAAAGAGATACAGGTTTATTGATACATCGAGTTCAGAATGCTAACACACCAAGATCTGAACTGCCTGGGCTCTGCCCAGCACGTTAGTTTTATACCATGCTCCAAACTGAGCTTTCTCACGGCGTTTCCATACAAGAGACAAACATAACATTTTGAAAAAGAGAAGTTCATTTTGGAACGTTACAAAAAAAGAAGTTCATAGGAAAAATATAAAAAGAGAAGTTCCTAATGTCTTAAGATGTCCGCAAGTTCACCTCTGTTAGGTAAGCTCCCCGTTGGGAAAGCGAGTACGTTCAGCGAAGCATTGTGAGAGTTGTGTTGGAGAACACATAAACCAGCATACAGAGACACTGCAGTTTAGTTAGGCTTTTTCTTTCATGGAAATAGAGGTATCAGAGTCCATCAAACAGTCCAAGTCATACATGGATAAGACAGTCAGTCACCAACGTCTTTCAGCTAAGGGATAATCCAAATAACATAGTCCATAATCATATAATCAGTTCAGTACTCTGTTATGTATTAGGAGACTTGCAAACGGGCCAGCAACTGCTCTGCTGCGGCCTGATTGGCCAGGACGCAGCAGAGGCTGTTGCTAGCTTTCCTTAACTGTTAATCTTCACTGATTGGCCGAGGTACTGCACCAGCAGTTGCTGTGCAGTACCCGGGCCCTCATTGGTTAATACAATAGTTACAATTACTATAAATACTGGGCGCGTTTTGTGAAACCCGGAATCGTTGTCATCTTACTTCTGTAACAATAAAGGTCATCTTACTGGCTATCCATGGCTCCTGCATATCCATCCACTCAATACTTGAAATACTCAAAGTTTGCTAACAGTTGCAAAACTTACAATAGCTCACAGCACTTTCTAACAAACAGCTTCCAAAAGACTCAGATCAGATCAGCCCAGCATCTAACAAAACAGAGAGCTAACAGTCATTCTGGCACCCTCTTATGGCC